GAGGGACTTAGTCGGGCCGAAAAAAAGTGTCGGTCCCGTGATTTGGATCATCGGAGCTTGAATCTAAAAGCATCGAAAACGTTAATTGATATACCGTTTATCAATATATTAGCGTCAGTGCCTAATTATAATTTCATCGATTAAATAAAACATGCGCAAAATTAATCATTTATTTTTGAAATTAAACAGGTCTACACCAAATTGGATGATTAATTTGTTGAATTAAAGGATTTCGCTTTTAAATTAAACGCGTATACAAAAAATTAATTGTGATTAACACGATAATTATTTTGCTAGAAATTGTATTTTCAAATTACAGAATTATGTCTATGCCAAATTAATCATTAAAAGTATGAATTAAGTTTTGTAATTCATTAGAAGTTAATTATATCGTATTCGAAATTAATTAATTGCAGTTTTGAAGTTAAAGTATTTAATTTAATAAATTAACTATCATTATATGACTTGTTTTGAAATCATGTAAACATATAATTCATTCGTAATTTATTTAAATTCATTTATAAATGTATATTTATGATATTGTCAAGGAAAATTTTAATAATTTTACATTTGTATTGACTTTTCGAACCAACATTACATTTCAAAAAATTTGCTCATATTAATTTGCCGCTCAATCGACTCAATCGCTTACTCTCACTTCACTAACCAAAATATATATTTAGCCATTCTCAATCTCAGTTATACATTTAACCTATCCTATCTGCTGTTTAATACTTAATTAGTATTAAAACTATTCTTAATTCGTCATCTAACTCTAAAGCTAATTTACTATCTAAATTATACGCTTAATTCGCCATTAACTACATACCTAATACGCCATCCAATTATTGTTAACTTACTATCTCATCATAAAAATTAGTCTTATTCGCCATTCAAATTTGCTAGCCAAATTATTTTTAACTTACCATCTTAACCAAACTATTCTTAATTCGCCATTTAAATTATTACACATATAATAATGGCTTCTTTTGATCAAACAGCTAGTCCAAAAAGGTGTTCTCGTTGCGATAAATCTAAATCTATTGAAGAATTTGTTCGGCAAAGTGGTAGTAGAATGAAAGAGTGGTCTACATGTAATATTTGCGCAGAAACAAGAAAGGAAAAAAACAAAGAAATAGCAGATTTGGGAAACATAAGGGCAGCCAATTATGATGAAGACAATGTGGAAGAGATGATCGTTGAAAATGAGGATGAAACTCCATATGATTTAGCTGATTTGGAAAGTCTTATTGTAAACTGTTTTGCAAATAATAATGAGGTGCATTTCTCAGGAATTTTTAGATTAGAAAGAGAATTAGTTAATGACATGCTAGATGATAATGAGGAAGAAAATAGATACCACAACATGGCTTTACCTTTTCTTTTACCTATTGAAGTGGGATCTCGTTACTATTGGGTAGTAAATAAAATTTATCCTCATAAAAAAAATAACAAATTTAATGGAGAAATAGCAGTATATCTTAATTGTATACAAAAAGAAGATCAAAAACATGTTAAATTAGATAGTCAATCAGTAAAACGAATAAGTGAAGCAAGACCTGCAATAGATCGATATCCCTGTGACGGAAATGCAAAAATTATTATTAACACTAATAAATGTTTAGCTAGTATAGATATAAAACATATAATAGCTCACGAATATCCTACTTATCGTGAGAATAACTTACCTCAGAGTGCTATAGCTTGGATATCCCGCAATATAAATCAAGGTCTTCGAAAAATTGAATTTTATAAAAGACTATCACGGGAAAATCTTATTAATCCAAAAGTACATACTTATAATCAAGTATACTATTGGGTCTCAAAATTCTCGACTCAACAATATATTACAAATGTGTCTAATCAACTTCTTTCAACTCGTAACTTTTTGGAGCAAAGCGAACTAGTTAATCAAGGATACGATGTTGTTTTTTATCTTGAAAATGACTTCGTCCGGGCACTAGGATTTACTACACCTTTCCTTAAACAATTATTAAACAATATTAATGAAATTATTATTGATTCAACATTTAAAACAAATCAAGAAAAATTTGAACTTTTTGCAGTTATAAATAATGATGGTGGATTTGGAGTTCCACTTGCATACCTATATTATACTACTGTAGTATCAGAAAAATGTCTTCAAAATTCTAACAACAATATTACTACACGAGTAAAAGTTTTAGAAGAATTTTTTTTTATACTAAAAATTCTTGGAATTTCGCCTAGCTTTGTTCTTTTAGATAAGGATCTTGGTGAAATCGCAGCTGTAAAAAAAGCCTGGGCAGAAATACCAAAAATTCAATATTGTTTGTGGCATGTAGAGCATGCTATTCAACGAAAATTAAAAGAAAAAAAAAACAAATCAAGCCAATATACATTACGGGTGGCCGCTAATGCTAAAAGCATGTTTGAATTTATTGATGAATTGTGGATACCTAATGAACAAGAAGATATTTTGTGTCCTGAAGAAAATATAAATGAAGTTTTAGGACTAATTAAAAGACATATTTTATTACATCCTCTTGTTCCAATTAATAATGGAGTATTTCTTACCTCAACTCAAATTTATCGATTAAGTGTTCAGGAAATATATAACTATTGTAAAAACAAAAATCTTGTTCGTTTGTGGGGATATTTATGGTGTAATTGGTATAAAAAAAATCATTGGGATCTTTTTGCTCGGGCCTCTTTCTCAAAAGCATTGCCATTAGCAAAAACTACAATGTTAGTAGAATCGCATTGGTGTGTTCTCAAGTACCATTACAAATATAATTATAACCGACCTCGTCTGGATCACTTAACACAAATAATAACTAAGAAATTAATTCCGGATCGAATAAATGACTGGTACAAGTTTGATAATAGTCGCACCTTTCCATCATGGTGGAGAATATTTAGAAGTGATTGGAAAACTATATTAGAAAAAGAAATTAGTTTGGAAAATAATTATTATACAAATATTAATCAGTGGATTTGCTCATGTCCTGCATTTATTGAAAGTACTTACATGCTATGTAAACATCTTGTAAGAAATTATACAAATGAGTATCCGGACTTTTTTCCCCAATTTGCAAATACAAAATGAAGACATGATTATCCATTCATTTATTTTGGTAAAGAAAAACTTCTACGTATTAACTTAGAAAATAACCCCTGGAATGAACCCATTGAAGAATTTTTTGATGAACCTGAAAATTTAATAGAAAATATTAATGAAGAATTATATACCAATAACCAAAATGAAATAATTGAATCCAGAAAAGCAGAACTTAATGAGGATAAAAAGATGTTTGAATCTTTATTAACAATCGTTTCAGATAATATTCAAAATGACTCTTTTTATAGTACCTACCAAAAACTAAAACAATCTTTAATAGCCGAAACAATTGCTTGTCAGGAAGCTTTACGGGCTAAACATCAACAAAAAACTTGGCATCCCCCTCGTAGATCTAAGCTCGCTTTTTGGTTACAGTAGATAGTTTTTATTCAATATAATTATAATTAAAAAAACTTCAGCTAGATTTTAATCATTTAAGGTTTTGTTAGTATATCGATAATATAAGTGTATAACAATAATATAAGTATTTTGATAATTTTTAATAAATATTTAAAACCATCCCTGTCTTATCTGTTCACTGTTTCATCATCTATAATTAGGTTCGAAATATAAATCAATACATCGCGAATTCAAAGGTTCTCATTATTGTTATAAAAATAATACCGATACATTTTTTTGATTAGATCATCATCTGCACTATTCCTGTATTACGTATGTGCTCATCGATCCCTCCGAAATCACGGGACCGACACTTTTTTTCGGCCCGACTAAGTCCCTCGA